TGATTTGATATCCATACTAGTTGATGATTCAATATTGAATACTATGGCATTGAATTGATATCCTGACTAGATGATGATTTGATATTGAATACTATGGTAGGTCATGGTTTAATATTAATACTATGGGTATTAATATCCTTAGTATATGCTGCTATCTGTGGAGGTAGTGGCAATATGTAATACAGGCAGTGAACAGTAAAAAACTCCAAAAGTCCACATTGTAGCTATAGTCCGCCGTAGTTGGTGAATTTAGCTTCAATCCCACGTCAGCACTCGCCGAAGTTTCAGCGGAAACAGGTAGAACAGGTAGAAGGACCTATTCCCATCGCTATTTCCTCATTCTTCTGTTCATCGTGAACCCAACCTCAAGGCCTTCCCTCTTGTGATTGTGATGAGAGATATTGAACCTAGGGGCGTTGTGGCAGTCGTGGCACCTACCGCGGATAACGCCTGCGTATCATGCGCTCAGAAGAAACGCAGATGCGATCGAGCTATTCCTGTATGCTCCACGTGTCTACGGTGAGGGATATCCATAGGCCGGAAACTTGTTGGTTTTTAACTTGATACCTAGACTTCGGCGAGAATGTTGCTACGCCAGGCTCCAGTTTGTCCTAGCACAGGGTGCTTCTGTGTCCACGCCCTTGGAAACTCACCGTATACATCAGGGCGAGATATTTCACCTCTCTCTCTGGCGAACGAAACAGATAGATGCGACCCAAGACAGATTACCACTGGTAGCAGATGAACAACTGGCCAATCAAGCTTGTCTGGCGTGTAAGTCTGGAAAGAGACAATGCGACAGGCAATTGCCCAGCTGCACACGATGTACCAGGTACGGCTACCTCTAGTGCTCTGTCTGCCCTAGTAACGGCTGCTGATGTTCGTAGACTTCAAACTCAGTGCAGGTATTGGAATGGTTTCATCGCTACCTTCGCTCACAATTCTGCTACGTCCTGCTTTGTAGATTCGCTAGCTCTACAATGAGTAGATGCGAAGGTGTCATTTCCCATTCCTACGCAGAAACACATGCCTATGCTACTGCATTCTTGTAGGTGGATGAGCTCCTAGACCTAGCTGGGACCGGCTGTTGCAAGTATATGTCCTGACCATAGGCTCGAAGCGGCATCCGCCAATAGTCATTGAGAAGTTCGGAATGGCACCGCTCAAGGTCGAGAATGGCAGTCTTGCCTTTCTCCTACGCACTGATTGGGTTTCCCAAGCCCTGGTCGACCCCTGCTTCTTCCATGCGACGTTGTTCTCGGCATCTGCTCACCTGGATTCTTTCCAGGGCAGAGATAATAATCATATCACAATATACCACTATACTATGGCACTGCGGCTCCTTCGCGAGAAGCTAGCTTCTCCTGGTGGTATGCTGGACGACGGAACGATTGCGTGCATTCCTCCACTAGTTTTCTTCTCGGTGAGCTACTTATGCACTGTGTCTTAGAAATCAGTCCTTAACGAAGATAGTCGATGAGGAGTGACGAGGACTCATCCCAGATTCATAGGGAAGGCCTGATGAAGTTGCTCAGAGTCAAAGGAGGACTTCATAAGATGGGCTTTGGCGGTTTCTTTTCCGCCTTAGTACCCGTGTAAGAGACCCTATCGACTCATCCGCCCAATGGCCAACAGAGCCTCTGACTCCAGCAGATGTGTCCTGACAGAGGCGATTATATTCGACTCCGAGTTTGGCATTCCGGGTCTGGATATTCCACCAACACCGTTGGCGCCGCCGACCTGTCTACTCACGGCCGCTCTCAAGCGGGCTGCGCATCAGACTGGATACTATAACCTTTCCCACGCAGCGATCACCATCTTCCAGGACATTAGCCTCATCTGCAGATATCAGGATGGACATTACGTGGCCTCAACACGAGAGGAGGGCTTGTATAATTCCACCAAGATCAAGTGGCGTAATCAGCTACAACAAAAGATCAGCCAACGCCATGATGCACCCGAAAATGTCCATCCATCTACCTCCAACAGAATCGATCAATCCTGCCAGGCCGCTGCTTTAATATTCTGGTATCTGCTCGATGATTATTTCTCGGTAAACGCCGGTACTTTGCAAAATCTCGTTCAAACCTTGAAGGATGCCTTGGTCAAAGCGTCCATGGATACCTGGATCAGGTGCTCCCCAGAGGCACACACATGGATCTGCCTAGTTGGAGTGGCGGCCAGTAGCCCCTGCAGTGATGATCAAGTGTGGTTTAGTCTGCGCCATGGTCAGCCCGTTGTATGTATTCGCAGTGAAGGCCCATCTCTCTACCTGGACTGCTGGAGAACGTATGACTGGCTAAATCGTCGGCGGAAATTGAGGGCCGAACATTAGAATCCCCATACTTACCGTTTCATCAACCTTACGGCGTTCCAAAGACCTATCCGCGTGCAGACTGTACCTTAGTAGACAGGGAGCGATGACACCAGGTTTTGCTACCAGAGGCCTGGCAGTATGTGGCACTTCTGGCGTGTCAGTTATATCGGCATTTGCGCCATTTCGACCTGACCTTGCTTCCTGGCGTCCATACCAACCTCGGAAGTAGGTAAACCTGGGCGACGACTAGCGATTGGTCAGTCTCTAGGTGCGTTAGTGCTTAGAACCTACTGAAGCATCCGATGTTCTGCACATTGGTTGTAAACTTGT